GAGCAATCATCACAAATAAAGTAAGAAACACAATTAAAAATCCCCGTCCCAGAATGTCATATTTAAATCAATATAAATCATTGAAACGAGTTGCGGCCAACATTAGAGACAAGCTACAACAGAACAACGCCGTTATTGCCAAAGCAGATAAGGGCAACTGTACGGTGATCCTCAATAGACCCGAGTACGTCAACAAAGTATGTGAATTTATCGACACTAACAACATAGAATTATTAAGTCAAGATCCCACTGCAACCTATTCTAAGGAAATAAACAAACTAATTTCAACCTGCACCAATCTCCTATCTAAAGACGAAATAAAATATGGTAAAGTAACTAATCCTCAGGCGCCCATCCTCAGAGGATTACCGAAGATTCACAAACCCAACACACCAATTAGGCCATTAGTGAATTTTAGACCATCTCCCACTTACAAGATGGCTAAAAAGCTTGAACACATAATCAGAAAAGAAACTGTTTTAGAGAATGACCATAGTGTGAGGTGTTTATGTCGGGTAGGGGCACCCTAACCTAAACTTACCTCCGATTTGCTCGGACAGCTCGGGAGTAGTCCAGGGTTCTAGCTGACAGCCCCGTCGCTCGCTAACCGCTTCTCGATCTTCATAGATGTTATCTTCGTCGTCCTACACGCACACTATACTATGGTTGTGTGTCAGCACAACGACGCACTGACTAGGAATATATCGGCACTAAATACGATGCTTCTATGTGAACTAAAATACGTGACCAGCTTCTAGGTCTAACAAAAGGTATCGCTTCTCGAATAAAAACTAAAAATAATACTGAATTACACATTTTAAAATACATAGCATTATCTAACGGATACCAGAGCTCACTAATAGACAAACATATTAACAAAGAGAAAAATAAAATTAAAGAAAACCAAGAAAAAGACCCCAAGAAATATGTCTCTGCAGAATACGGAGTTGTACTTAACAACACACTGAGGAAAGAAATGGCGAAACATAAAGTACAAGTCGCATATAAAACGCCTAACAAACTCTCTTTTCTCCTCGGGGAAAGAAAAAAGAAGACGATGGATAAAGTAAACAACACAGGTGTTTATAAAATTAAATGCGACGATTGTCCGAGTTTTTATATCGGACAAACTACCTGTTCTTTCACTACAAGGTTCAAAGAACATATACCAAGGAGAAACTCTAAGTCTGCTTTTGCCAATCACCTCATTAATTCGAACCATAACTACACCGACGTACACACTAATTTAGAAATCATGCATCTATGTAATAAAGGCAAACAAATGGATACTAGAAGAATTCGAGATCTACAGAGCATCAAAAAACAACAACCCGACCATATATCAAATGAACAGCAGTCCTTCAAATCAAATATAATTTACAACACTGCCATCCACATTATCAACCAAAACAAAAAGAAACCAGAGCAAAGATAAAGGAAGAGAAGGGGAGGGGGTCCCAACTCCCTACACGGGTCAGTCATGACTCATCATCTAACGCTACCGGTTACACAACTCTCGTGTTCGGACTACTTGGCCAAGTTTTTAACTGTAAATATTTTAATGTTTCGTATGTGTTTCGTGTTATGTGTCCTAAATGTGCTGACGACTCCACCCACGGATGAGAAGGCCGTATTTTAACGTTCATAGACAACCTGAAGATGTACTCGTTTAGCAGTACGAAACGGCCGTAGTTAATTCATAACTTAAGGATCAATTGACGCAACAGGTAAATTAAAACTTTTATATTTCTTTAATTTTAACATTTTTGCAATCTTGTAAACAGTAAGGCCATTTACAGCTAGTTATTTAAAACACCTTAAACTTGGTAGTAAAAAAATTAGTTTTCCCATAGTATCAACAAATTACCTTTTTAAAAAATGTTATAAGTTTGTTAGAGATCCCAACAGGGTTTAATCAATTCAATTTACATCAATTCAATTTAATTAATTTATTAATCAGAAAACAACTCTTGGATTGTTGATATGAATAAATAGGTAAGGTAATAAGCCCACTCTTAATAGAAATTGTATTTAATTATTTTACATCATAACACCTTAATTTATTACAATCAAATTGCTACTCTAACTATAGAATAATACTGTCGTTTTTGTGAATCTTATACTATTAATTTAATATTATCAACTGTTACAACATATAAGTACAATTTTCAAACTTTTAAGTTATGATGGCTTATTTGGCATACCTTAAAACTATTGCATTTCTACTACTATAATAATTCCTTTGGTTTTATAAAAAAAAAAAGAATGCTTAACATCATTAAATATTTGTTAAACTGAACATATTATTATTTACATTACAAATTACTCCAAATTTTTTAAAAGTACAATTTAACTAGAGATGTAATAAAGAAAATTGGTAAACAACCTTGCAATATTGACTAATTAAAAGATGTCCTCTAAAAAGTCCTTGTAAAATTAGCTTTAGTCTAGCATTCAGTTTCCCTGAGATCATCATCAAAATCTGGATTTATAAACCACAATGTGTTCATGTTCATATTTAAATTTAGGACCTTATTAAGATAAAATAACAATTGATGAAATAAATAGTTACTACCTAGAATCAAATAAGTTAAACATGAAATAAATTCAGTTTACTTTTAATTTAACCATTAGGCTATAATAGGATATAAGCTAATAAAAGGAATACCTGTACCTACAAATAAAAAAAAACATTTTTTAAACTTTAAAATGGGAGGATGGTGTAAAATTTAAATACTGGAGTCCAGTGGGGGCGATAGAGGGTCCACAGGGCCGCAGTGCGGGGGGGCCCAGGAGCTAGGAGGGCTCGTGAGCCTTGACCGGAATTTTTTGAGAAATTGTACACGGGACCTTAATTGTGAAACAGGCTCAGCCACACGGGCCCATATCATAACAATATTTATATGAGAATTACCATAAGTTTTTTTACGCCACACTACACTATTTTGACGAACTTCCCACGCGAGGATTTAGTCCAGAAAACAACTGTTTGCCGCCAGCTTAATCAAATGGGGTTTCATTGCGTACTACTGTACTGTAATGAGTTTTACCGGACACCAATCAGCTGATTATACTGTATTTGGGTGGCAATGAGTAGTTATAAACAAAAACATAACCTCTCTTAGAGGTTATGACTAGTGATTTTTAGTTCTTTGGTTGGTGGTAATATATAAGGATTCGTACAGATTTATTAGTATGGCGTAAACCAGTGTTTCCCAACCTTTTTCCGTTCAGGGCACACTAACTAGAACACGTTTGTAGTCACGGCACACTTTTCTACAAAAATATTGTGACAAAAATATCATGACCACAGTCGTGTCCGCCGTGCTACCTGCGTCAGTGTGTCCCTTATAAATGTGGCCGGCTACCTTCATTAAATGTATTTTGTGTTAAAAATGTGTGAACTTTATGTTTAATGTTGAATGTAATTTTTATGTTGAACTTTATGCTTAATTAACAAGATGACGTGTATTTGTATCTTATAACGAAGGCTTCTATCAGATTTATGGACCAATCAATTTGATGACATGGGTTTGAAAATGGGTCATTTATGACCCGAAACTAGTCACCCTTGACTATTTTAAGGACTGGACACGGAATAAAAAGGTACGGAACCTATCATATCATTCGTACATCAGTCCTGGTGGCAATAATGTTCGAAATATCAAGGGATGAGAAGTACTTTTTTATATTTCCTTCAAACAGACGCAGACTTTTCAAAATTGGAAACATGAATTCAACACTGACAAGTAATTCTACACAAAAGATTGTGTTCTCATGAACGTCCAAACCTCACTTAAAGCACCTCTATTACGACATCAAAAATTGTTTAACTACTTATAATTTCGCGGCACACCAGTGTGCCACGGCACGCCGGTTGGGAAACACTGGCGTAAACTATCGTACGTCACTCGTCCAAAATGTGTTTACCGGACTCGTATGGTCAGGGCCGGTTTAACCCATACGCGAACTACGCGGCCGCATATGGCGCCACGAAAAAGTGGCGCCGTGGCGCCAACGGAAATATTTTTTTACGTGAACAACGTAATTTTGTTTATTTTCGCTCAGAGTTCAAGTACACCACAATAAAGGCATTTATCCTATTTGTACCAACAGCACTTGAAAAATGTGTACAGCACTACAACTCAAGGACTCAATGCCATTTGCAGTTTCGATTTTGTAGTGAGCTGACGCTCGGCAGCGTACGGCGCGGCTCCTGTGGGTTTCATTTCACGACTCACTCATACTCGAGATGAGATAAGCAAGCGTGCAGCGCCAATTGTCACAACAAGAAACTTCCTCCTCCCTTCTGACTCTTATCCTAGAAAAGAGCACAACATTGTATTGCACTCTTTAATGTATTAGCGTATAGCGTGTTTCGTATCGTAATGGAGTTGTTTTGATGATTCATGATTGTTGATAAGTGAATGATTACGAGTGTTTTAAGTTTAATTTATAATTATAGCACATTAAATAAGAAGAAAGTATGAACTGAATAAATGAGTAAAACATCTAGCGAGCCGATACTAAGAAAACAATGGCAGAAAAAAGAAAACGTCTGGCACTTATTATAAAAAGGGTAAGGCGAATTTGGAAGAGGAAGATAAACAACTAGATTTTTGTTTAAATCATCTGGTGGCGAGTCCAGTAAGCCCAAAGAAGTCATGTTTACCGTTTAAGATCAGCTGTTTGTTTTAATCTTTTCATGGATAACAAAAATATAACCTTAATTACGTCATTGCCGTCTTCTATCGTGACGTCATGATTGACGAGCATTATGGCCGGTTTTTTTAGTGTGGCCTTGATTACGGCCTGTTTTTTGTTTAGTGTGGCCTTGGTTTTGTTAAAGTTTATATGATGAGTAAAAGTGTAAAAATGTTAAATTTCTGCGCATAATAAACAGTCTTTTATTGCAAGTATTCTTCTAACCTAAGCTTATAAAAAAGTTCTTCTTATTGAGAAAAAATTCACAAATACGGTTATGTTATGTTATTGGTTTGTGGGGGGGGGGGGGGAAATCCTAAGTGGCGCTGATTCAGGTGTTCGCTTAGCTCTGAAAAATTCCTAGAACCGGCCCTGCGTATGGTAATCCCGTACTCGACTTTGTCTTACATGGGAACAACCACACTTGTCCGGCAAACACTTATTTTCAGGACTAGTAACGTAATATACTATTATAACGAATTTTTTTTTAAACCAGTAAGAGCACTATGACAGGTAGTTTACAACAGCTAAACTAACACTATTACTTGACCGATTGATACAAATTCTCTTCCAACCTAATTCAAAGAATTGTAATCAGTCATGCAGGTTGCATCAACTTCCTCAAGGACTGTATGATAGCGCTATAATAGGGAAACATGTGGTTGCTATAATGTGGTTGTTAATTCTTACAATCATGATATGTGGCCCCCTGCCTAAGAGGATAAAACATTTATGTTAATCCTCCTAGCCCCTGGCGGGTCACACCAGAGAGGGTATGCTATGCTGATTCAACTAAATGAACTTGAAATTTTTTACCATAAAATCGGCAAATTAACCTAGGTGTCTAGGGCACTAGCTAATAAATAATTCCATTCTTTCATTGATGCTAAAAAAGGATTTTCATTTCATTTCATTTCTTACTTTTAGGAGGCTGCACTTTAGATTTGTTTACTTCACACTTTAGATTTTTTATTTTGAGTCAGTTTAAAAAAGTTACTTACCTATGGGCCTCGGTTCAAAATCTTTTTGCTTTGGAAACTGTTGATTTTTATATTATGTAAATTTTCAAGCTGAGCAGAGTCTGGCCTACAAGCTTGAGTGATCAAGCACAAAGTCATAAAATCAAGCTTAAGCCAATTTTCTAAGTACTCAATACAATAATGCCCAATATAAAGTAAACGTTTTTATGACGGCGAGGATTATGCTCTCGAAATTGAAAGATTAGGCCTACGCTTTTGCCACGATCGCGAATATTGACAAGAACATTTCCCCGCGGGTGACGATGACGATGTCTCTGAGGCCGCAGGAGATGTTCAATATTTTGCCGCATTTGTGGAAGACGATAATGACGTTTCTTTTTCCGTGAGAGATACATCTAGGATTTTGCCACGATTGTGGAAAAAATTATTTTCCCGTCACCACGGGTCGTGGGAGATATTAGGGATTGGGCAGTGAACGTCGGAGACGATGATGTTGTTATCTGATGATGTCATAGGTTTGGTTGCAATCATGGTAGACTATGATAATGTTTCTTCCATGACCACGGGAAGTATTCACGATTTTGCTGTGACCATGGAAGACAATGACGCCTCGGTTCCTCGGGAGATGCCGAGCCAAGCAAAAGTGCAAGTTTAGGCGGAAATACCTGTGATAATGTATTTAAAGATTATTGTGAGAGGGGGGCCCCGGCAAACAAACTTAAGGGGGGGCGCAGGCTCTTATCGCCGCCACTGCTGGAGTCCAGGGCATGGTGTTAACCAAGGTAAACTTAGTGTAAAATCCTACAAACCACTTTCAAATGCACAATATGCACAATACATGTAGATGTGAGTTCAAACATTTACAATGCTGTCTCTTGAAGCTGTCTGCTTAAGTTTTTCTTGCATTTGAGTCAACATATCCTGCATTCGTCGGATCTGAAACAAAGGTGTCTTATTTGATTACAAATGCAGCATTAGTTAACATGAACCATGAACTATATTCACAAGAAATTAATTAGTTATTTTATTTTGGTGTTCTACATATTTTTGTAATAAAATCAGTTACGATATCTTCTTCTATCGGATTAGACCTTCACTTTATGGATATATTAAACAATGCAAGTTCTGCCATTTTGTACAACTGACCTTTTTCTGCACAGATTGCACAAATGCAAATTCCCAATGTCGCCTTGATCACAAAAGATTATTAAGAGTCCCCGTAACTGTGGAGAGTGTTCACAATTTTGCCTATTATGCAAGATTTTAGGCATATGTACACGATTGAGTGGGTGTACCCAGGCCCGTTTTTGACCATGTCAGCGCCCTAGGCACAACTAATAGTAGCGCCCCTTTGCAATATATAACAGGGTGACTACCAACCGGGAAATCCGGGAACTAAGCGTGAATTTTTTGAACCAGGAATTATGTGTTAATTTTCTATTTCTACCTGGAATTGTCAATTTACAACAGTGACGTTTCCGTGACCACGGGAGACGGGAGGCGATAATATGTCTCCACAAGGCCTCGAGAGATGATCAGAACTTTGCCGCGATCGCATGAGATGATAATAATATCTAAACGACCGCGGGATATGATCATGATTTTACCGCGATCGCGCAATACGATAATGAGATCCACAGAGCCGTGAAGGATAATCAGAATATTGCCGCGATCGCATGATACGATGATAATGTCTAAGCGACCATGGGATATGATCATGATTTTACCGCGATCGCGCGAGTCTATGGTAATGACTAAATGACCGCGGGATATGATCATGGTCCACACAACCACGGAAAACAGTCAGAAATTTGCCACGATCGCGGAAGACGATAATGATATCCACATAACTGCGGGATATTATTAACATTTTGCCGTAATCGCGGGAGACAATTACGATGTCTTCACGACAGCGGGAGACGATTACGATATCTTCACGACCGCGGGAGACGATTACGATGTCTTCACGATCGCGCGGAGACGATTACGATGTCTTCACGATCGCGGGAGACGATTACGATGTCTTCACGACCGAGGGAGACGATTATATGATGTCTTCACGACAGCGGGGGACGATTGCGATGTCTACAGGATCGCGGGAGTTACAATAATGATGTCTACTCTACACGGCTGCGAGGGATGATCAGAATTTTACCGCAATCGCGTAAGACGATGATAATGTCCACTCAATCACGGGAAAGATCAGAAATTTGCCTCATTCGTGAAAGACGATGATGATCTCCAAACAACCGCGGGAGATGATTACCATTTGCCGCAATGGCGGGAGAGGATGACAATGCCTCACGACCACGGGAGGCGATGATGTCTTCACGGCTGTGAGGGATTATCAGAATTTTATCGTGATCACGCAAGATGATAATGTCCACACGACCCTGGGAAAAGATTACAATTTTGCCTCATTCGCGGTAGACGGTGATAATCTCATCACGACCGCGGGATGTGTTCATATATTGCCGTGATCAAGGAAGACGATAATCATGTCCACACATCCGCTGGAAATAGTCAGAACTTTGACGCGATCGCGGGAGACGGACGATGATGACGTATATACAACCGCGGTAAATAATTAACATCTTGCCGCAATTGTGGGAGACTGTTAAGGTGTCTTCATGGCCGCAAGGGATTATCAGTTTACCGCGATCGCATGCAAAAACGGCCACAATTTTTTTTCTTTTTTCCAATTTTTTGGCGCCCCCCAAAAAAAGCCAATTGCCTCGCGCCCTAGGCACGTGCCTACCTTGCCTATTCGGTAAATCGGCCCTGGGTGTACCCTGTTATAAAAGTTATTACTATGCAACCGTCATTCATTAAAATGCTTAAATTAAGGTCAAAAAGGCCACTACAAGTGGCCATGAGATACATAATGTGACAAGTTGTAATATATGCGAAACGACGCGCCTATAGCTCATAGTGGCCCCTCCTCCTTTCCTGGTTTGGCCGCCATTACTACAACTCTTGTTTACGTCTTACGCTTGGATTTAAATTTAAATGCTGTGTTGTGAGCCTTTTAACTCCAAAACACTGATCCTTACTGTAACATCATAATTGTAAACTAGGTCATCATTAGGATTCAATTTTATACACTCGTATTTAATAACAACTTTATTACTCAAATATTAGAATGTTTATATAACAGTTTCACCCGATTTCACCAAATTCACGCTAACAATGGTTTAGTTAATCTTCGGTTTAACTAACTGATGTTTTAAACCACAGTTAAGGAAATCTTGTTTCACCAGAGAAAACGTATCAAAACTAACTCTGGTTTTATAAATGAGAGTTTAGAGTAAAATCCAGGTAGCGGTGGCAGTATAACTGTCATAATACGGGGCTGTTATGAGAGCAAAAAGTAAACATAACCTAGAAAAAAAATCTGTGTTTATGAGGTAGTGAAAGCAAAACTGGAGACAGCAAGATTACAAGTAATAGATTCTGAGTAACAAGAACAAAAATAACAACAGAAAACAAGAATAAAAAGAGCTAAACAATTAACATGACTTAATAAAGGCAAAGCAATGTTGATAAAACAGATTCGATTGAGGAACAGAGGATTGAGTTTTACTGTTGAGTCAAGACTCAAAATCTAACCGTTACAGTACATTTGAAATAGTGAGAAAACTTGAGGCAAAAAGAGTTACAAGAACGAGACATAATAAAGATACCATAAAAATAATGATTTTCTATAAATACTAGCAGAATAATAACAATTTAGGTTTAGTTATTGTCCTTAATTACCTCTGACCGAACTAAATTAATTGTGTAACCGTAGGGTAAGGGTTACTCAAAAGGAAAAGGGAGCCTATTTTTTCAAAGAAAGAAAAAAGGAATTTTGATAACGTAGGTAGAAATACACTTTTTTCAGCCGGGATTAAAGAGTGGCTGATCAGATAACTAGAGATACCGGTACGCCTTTACTAAAAACCTTGTGGGATAACCTAAAGAAGAAGGCAAAACCTTTTAATAGTTCATATCAAGTAATAAAATTAATTTTGTCTTAGTTAAATCATTAACCCTCCGAGTGTCCCTAGTTTTGGCCTTAATGTTTTCCTATTTTTTGCGCATTTGCAAGGTTTTATTAAAACGGATCTGAGAAGCTTAAAAACAATGTTAATTATACTGTTCTATATACCATTTTGTTTGGAAAATCATGGGCTTCAATATTATACATAAAACATAAGGAACATTTGTTTCAAAAAAATTTTTTAGGTAAAAAAAAATATTTTGGAAAATAAAAAAAATAAAATAAGTTCACGCTCAATGAAACTGTATAAATTATAGGCCTATAAATATTTGAAAATAGCTACTTTGTTCTAAATTTTATGAGGATTACAAATATATAATAATATAAGGAAGTAGATTTGCAAATAAATAAGTTATGGACAAAAAACAGATTTCAGTACATAGCGTTTAGCTAAGAATGCATAGCCTAACCATAGCTAGGAATCTGGCTGATAATTTACATCAATATCACTACCTACTTCTTCAGGATCATCAACCAGCCCTTCAAAATCACTTAAATCTTCTTATAATGCACCAAATATATCACTACTTTTGATTTTTAACACTAAAACAATGATAAAAGGGCTACAACATATACAAAATTTTTATCAAAATTGATCGGACATTTTCGTGAAAATTCAATTTTTCCGTTATTTTATGGGTTTTATGGAAAAATCTCCATTAAAAATCAAAATTCCCAAAAAAATAAAAAGAAAAAACGTTTTGGAGGTACCATGGATAAGTAACTACATACAAAATTTTATCAAAATCTGACTACAGGTGTGGTCTGTAGCTTTGTACTCATCCACTAATACAGACAGACATACAGACCCGCGCGCGCGCAGACACACACACACTCACACCAACGGGGTTTTACCGCATACTCGCAAACACCTAATTGTGGCATCTTTCAAACTGCGGCCACCAGTGGATGAAGGAAGTTGGTAGAAACATGTGTGCATCGATATTTTTAATGAACACTCCATTTTAACATCTAACATTCCAGTTTTTAATTGTGGCACCTTGCCACAAATCGGTATATATCAACAGTGTGTGGACAAGATGCCACTAATGCGTTGTAGCGCTTGAGCGGTGTGTTCGCCCCCCCTACTTCTCGCGTGCGCTGTTGCCAGTTCTCTGTTCTAGTTCCTTCATTCCGTTCTGTATTCATGTGGCTATGCCCTAGCCGCTGTAGCTCATTGTCCGCTCTCCTCACGTCGTCTTTTATTAGTGTAACGATTTTTTTACATACAGTTTTTTCAAAGCTCCAATAATTTTGACAATTAATTATTGGATTCAAAGTCAATGGACCAAATGAAATGTCGTGAGGATTACATAAAACTACATGCTATGTCTTTGATATTTTATCGTCCCATTATATGTATGGTTTACGAACTTAGATACTTGATACTTATAGATATTAAAGGCCTTAATGTCATGGGTAAATTATCAGTTTCATGGGAATATACAAGAAATTTACCTTAAAATACGCAATAAGAGTGACTCATTTTTCTTTGTATGCATATCATTAATTCATGGTAATGTAAAAGTATGTGTAACGAATTTTTCACCACACTATGATGTTTTAGCTGTTTTACATACGTTAATTGGTGGCTGAAAGTTATGTTTTTCTGACCATGCCAGCTGTCATCGTCATATAGGGGCCGAGCAGGCGTTTACATCCCTAGGGCCGCAAAATCACTTGTTCGCTTTTTTACTTAAAATATTAATGTATATTAAATGCACAAGCTGAAATATACCCTTAATATGGTTTATATTCTAAACTTATCTTAAACAATAATAATTTGAGGACAGAGGTTTTAAAGCATGAGGTTTAATGGTACATAAGTTAAATGATTAATATAGGGTTACAAAAAAATTGTTCAGGGGTGGGGATTCGTGCTGGCCGAATCAAA